TAGGGAAAACGAGTTATACTGCAACATTAGTTAGAAGTAGGCAGGCGGATAATTCGTGCCAACTTTTGATAGGTTATAGTTAGCTAAGTTCAATGAAACATCTTTCTTTAAAATCGAATTAAATAAATGTTTGAGTTTAATTCATATGATATATAAATTGTTGAAATCCCAAGATTGAACAGTTGACCATAGTATGAGGTTCGTGGTGAAGTCAATCCCTAAGTATTTCTTCGCTTGATCTCAATCCTTTTATTCCGTTTATTTTCTTTTATATTATTGAATTGCATCACAACATAACAAATTAATCAAATCCTCTTTCTAAATTAAAATAGTATTAATTGAAGATTCGATAAACCACCACAGTCCTTGAGGTTCGACACCCTCAACATAGCCCTATCCTACAAGGATTCGTTCTATCACAAGTGGTATCTTATTATTGATAAATAAAAACACACATCAGGCACTATTGCTGGCACCGCTGCTGGTTGTGTCTAACATGGAAGGTGACATGGCACTACTACTAGCACTGTTGTTGGCTGTGTCTGACATGGCAAGTGACGTGGCACTAATGCTGGCACCGCAATTGATCATATCTGAAGGTGAAGAACTGACGAGGCAGAATTACAGTGCTATTGTCATGTAACTACGTTGATACATCTTAGAGGCTGATTAGGCGGCCAAATAAAGTTTTGCTGATTATGAACTTAAAATTGAAGGTTCCGCATCAGTTTGAAGGTTGATCGCCGCCGAGGATGAGGCTAATGGTGCCATCCCTGGCGATGACTATGATAAATTGGTAAATTATTTACTAGTGATTGAAAAGCTCTGATACCATGTTAGAAATAAAAGAATGAAATATATGATATTGTATTGTATTGATGTAATGTGAATACATAAAGGTCCTATATATATATGAGAAGATTTGGAGTAGGTGATTGATGATCAAGTCATCTACATATGGTAACTAGGTAGGTAGAGGTATACATGGTAATTGGGTAAGTGTAGTTGTAATTCTGTAAGCCCTAATTTGTAGGTAAGGGATGTTTTAGTAGTTTTTTAATCTAACAACCCCCCTCAAACTCAAGGTGAGTATGAAACCAGGTTGAGATTGAAGATGAGATCATTAAAGCGATAATGGAGCGTGAAGACCACTTAAGGCACATTGAGGTACGGCGGCGCATAGGTGACGAATTTGTAAAGATTCACCACGTTGATGGTGCTTTGGAAGTGTATGATGACCATTGATGGCACATGGCGACGCGGTGACGGAGTTGTGAAGATCCGACACATTAAGGAGCGTGAGAGCGCATGATAACCACTAATGGCGTGGTAACGGAGTTAATCTGACACGTTGAGGTGCGGAATTACCGCTGTTGCACATCGAAGCGCATGGAAGAGTGTAAGAGACTGAAGTAGCAGTCTGAACCAAATAAGAAAAAGTCGAAGGAATCTAAAAATTAAGGAGCTCAAAGAGGCATCCTGTGTTATAGCCTATCCTAAGGGTCTGTCCTGTCCAGGATCCTGCACATAACAACCTGTGCTAGAAAATGTGACATTGAGTTTAAGGTCACATAAATGGCCAACTGAGATAAGATTTAAAATGAGTTTAGGGATGAGATATGTGTTAGGAAGAGTGAGGTAAGAAGCATAGTTCACTATCGCGATATTGGTCTAGGTATTGGTCGCGGTCGTGGTGCAATGGACTCAGGCAAATATCGGTGTAAACCGGCCAAACCGATCGGTTTGTAATGATATCGACAACAAACCATGATTAGAAATAAAGACTTGTCCAATGTGACTGTATTCATATTAGAGCTATTAGCAGTATGGATCTTAGATATATGTGAATCAGATGCTTTAGAAAATAATGCATTAGGACTAGAAGTCATATGATTACTAAAGGTAGAATCAAAAAACAAGAAGAACCTGAAGTGACCAATGAGAATGGCCTTAAAATTACTAATAGGAATAATATAGTGGGGGAGTCTGTATAGCAGCAATACAATGAGATAAAGTCATGGATTTCGCATTTGGGCCAATTGTTTCATGGTTTCTTGTTAGGACATTCACATTGAATATATATATATATCTGTGAGATATAAATTCTTTAATTGGCAAATTTCGATGTCAAAACAAGTCCGATCAAGTTGTAATTACAAGTTACCATATCAAGATCAAGATCGGCTGCGGAATTAGAACGTTGTTCAAAAATACTATACTGAGATCATCAAGAAAGGAAAGAATAACACTTTAGGAAGAAATCTAAAAAGGTTAGGACATGTTTCATAGTTGGTATATTTTCAGAAAATTCCAAAACAATGTTTTTACCTAGTTTCAGCCTTAGAATTCAAGTCAAGCATACTTGAACCGGTTCAAAAACCTTCAAAGTTGCTTCGAATTTTAACTGCCATTCTTGAACCAATTCAGCCTTTCTTGAACTTGTTCAAGGATCTTTTTCAGTTTTAGTAACTTTTGAATCATGTTCTAATTTCTTTCCTAGTTGGTTTAGAATTATACCAAAAGCCTTACACAGGAAATTTCCTTTATTTTCTGAAAGATTAGGTCTTTAAAAATTCTATATAAACCCTGATACACATCTAGGTTTATTACAGCTTTTGCATTATAACTTCATTATTCATAAAAACCTTAGAAAGATTATTTTTGCAGAAAATCCAAGTTGAATTCTCTGTTATCTTTCTAGAACATACACATAAACATAAGAGTGAGTTTAGAGTCTTGTTAAAATCCAGATCGTGATCAAAGTTTTGCATCTACAACGATAAAAAAAAATAAAAAAATAAAAAATAATAAAAAAAATAGATCTAATTCTACATCGAATTCAAATATTGAAGAATAGAAGTAAAAGCGATCACACTTTGAAATGGTCAAAGCATTCGTGGAATATTGTTTGATCTATCTGCTACCCCTCTACAGAGATCAAGCATAAGCCTGAGGTCAAGTGTTGTTGGATTGGACGTCACAAAGCCGGATGATTGTCAGCTATTGGTGTTTGGTGGAACAATAGGGTGTGAGCTAAAATAAAAATTCAGTATACTTTGTTTTATACATATTGGATCAGTTTATTTTGGACTGCACAGTCCACGACGTTCCCACGCAAATAGTTGATCTATTTTATCAACTAGGATTTCCTCACTAAAAATCCTGGTATCATCTCTAACTCTTTACTTTGATTTATTTTATTTTGCATGTAATTAATTAATTAATTACTAAAATAAGTAAAGTTATAAAAACACATATTTATTTCTAAAAATACAAAACTTTCTAAATATTTCACTACGTACCACTCACATTATCTATCGTGTGGGAACATTCATTTTGAAAACCATTTGCTAGAGCAATAGCTCATAACCAATTCTGTGACACTGTGAAAAAACAATAGAAAACATTCTTTTATAAAGTTAGGTCGTAACTTCTATTGAGACAGAAGTATAAGAAATGTATATAGTCATATGTTTTGGTAAATATAACGTGTGAAATATGATTAATATACATCAACAATTACAGTTAGATTTTTTTTAGTTTAGTTTAGTTTTTTTGTCATCATCTTGTCCGTAATCTCATATATACCAAAATATAATGGATCCACCTATATATCATTAAGGAACTTGCTATGATACCAAACATAAATCTAGGACCAAATTACATTGATAAATATGTTAGCATTTAAAATTAAATATATAATCATTAAAAAAAATAAAGTTTCAATTATACTTAGTTGCACACCAGATGAAAATCATCAAGAACAAAAATATCTATTATATTACGATGTGTTTCTATTTGGACAACCCCAATAAAAGTACAAAAATATTTTTTGTAATATATACTTTTTGTCATTTTCTATAATATATAAATTAACTCTCTTTTTCAATGAATTTTAAAATAATTGACACAATTGGAAATGGCTTTTTTTATAAACTTATAAATTTAATAAAAAAAAGTTATATGTAGGTGTGCAATAAAAATTACTTGATATAAATTCTAGAACATTTTATACATTGGACATATCCTTAATTTACTACTTTGTGACATATCTTAACTCTGTCAAAAACTTATATCTTCTTCCTCCTCCTCATTTTTTTTTTTTTTTTTTTTTTTTTTTTGAGTGGTCTAATGTATAAATACATTCTTTTATGAAGCCATAAAAGATTTTACAAGATAATATATTTAGTTTAATTATTAAATTATTGTCACAAACACGAAAAAATTGAATCTAAAGAAAGAAATGAAGCTAGATGTTTATAAGCTAGATATAGAATTGAAAATATGCACGTGTATCATATTAGAAGAACTTACAATATCAAGATATGCATATTAATGTTGTTATAAAATAATTATAAACCCTTTTTAAAAAGATATAAGAAAAATGGATTTACATCAACTATTATTGTAACTTTCAACTTCAGCTAAAGAGATTATTAATGAAATGAAAAAAGAACTGTATTTTGAAAAAAGGTATAATTCATAAAATAAAAAATTAATGAGAATATAATAGACAAATCAACTTCTCGACCAAGAAATTAATTCATAACGTATTTTAACAATTCCAAAGATATAAATATATATGTTTTGTTTTGTTAACGTACAGATGATAATATAAGAATATATCAAAAAAATAATCTCTCTTTTAACACTGATGTTTTATATTTATGTTTAGAATTTAAAATTTAAAAGAGATTATACAACTAAAAAAAAAAACACTTCAATAAAAACGTTAGATTACATAATAAAAATTTAAAAATAAAAAATTTTAATATTCGTTTGCATTGCTTACAGCATTAGAAATGTTTTTTAAAGTTAAAATTAAATCAACGACATCAAAAATAAATAAAGAAAGAAAGAAACTAGTTATATTATATGATACTCTTTAATCAATGTTTAATACAAAATTTTGATTTTGCATCTCAAAAAATAAGAGGGATGGTTTTTAAATAAAAAAAAATTTACTATCCAATATTAATATATTAAATATTACCTTCAAGTACACAAACTAATTAATCTTTTTATTTCTTGTTTACTGAACAGAACACCTACTTACAAAACATGTCACTTTTTTTTTTTCTGAAAAAGAAACAAATAAAAAATAAAATAAAATAAAAACATGTCACATCAAAAGCTTAAGATTTACAATAGTCAAAAACCCAGCCCATGCCAAACAAGGCTTTACCAGATCACCAGCTATGGAATTCACCTCCCCAAAGATCCGAGAACACCCAACCAGAGTCCCAATTATCGCTAAACAAACCATCAACCCGACCCGAATAGCTCCCATCCCCAACACAATCGGACCCCAGGCCAGGGTCAGACCCAGTTGGGAGGCGTACAGGGCCAGAGCCATGGGCTTCCGGTGAAACCCACCATCAGCCCAGACAAGCCAGCCCGATAGGCCCATGAGTAAAGATGTGCCCATGCAGATCAAGTGCAGGGCCCACAAATTCGGGAACCAGAAGGGTTTTGCTAACGTGCTGTAGCTGTTACCTGAACCACCGTAAAAGGAGATGTTGGCGAGGGTGAGAGAGAGAGGCAGGACCACGGCTACAGCCAATGAACGGAGGCCACGTTTCGCCATGGCCATTCTCTTCTGTTTCCTCGTTTTGTTGTTGGTGGTGGTGTTCATGTTGTCTATGTCTGGGTCGCCTCTTGTTCGGTGTTTGAGGTTGTTGGGCGCCATGAGTGAGAGCGAGTTTAGAGAGAGAAATTTCTAGAGAGAGAGGGGGGGGGTGAAGACAGAGAGAGAGAAGGGAAGCGTTGAAGCGATGAGGAGGAATTTCAGGTAAGTTTTTTATAGAGGTGAACGGGTTTTTCGCGTTGATCGGTTGGGCCTTTTGATGAGGTGACACGTGGCCGAAGGAGGCGGTGGGTAGTGGATGGTAAGTGTACACGTGGGTGAACAAGTGCCAGCGATGCATCAGGATTTGGTCAAAGTTTTCCATTTTTGATCTGTTGACATGACCGTTCATTGTGTGAAATGTGGATAGGGTTACACGTGGTAACATACTGCAATTGTACGTCTCTTCATACTCTTCCTAGGCTCTTCACTCTTGCGGCTCGTCTCTAATTTAGAAATGGGTTATTGTCCAAGTTCCGCCCCAGTAACCCTTGGATTAAGAAGCGACGCCCTTCTAATGTGCACCCAAAGTATAAGACGCACTATTCCTAACGATTTGTTTGGGAGTAAATTTTTCTCCCAATTTGAAAAATGAATTGGATTCTAGTTAAAATGGATATTATTTTTACATTTAGGTTGTAGGCTGTGTTCGGTTGTATACAATTGGAATTTTAAAATTAAAATTTGTAAAATTAAAACCGAACACAACCTTAGAATAATGTAAAAATAGAAACTCTAAACAAAGATTGAAAAAGAAGTCAAAAATTTTAAACACGGGTAACTATAGTTTATACCGCCTTCAAAAGATAATGGGGGGATTAAATTTTGATATTTATTGAAAATTAGATTAGAATTGTTACTCTGTTTGCATATGGATAGGATTTACTAGGGATGGGTAAATAATCCGTGAATTTGCGAATCTAATTCGATTCGTGCAGATTGGATCGGATTGCTACACTCATGGATTGGTGGCGAATTCAAAAAATTTGAATCCGTAGCTCACGGATCGAATCACGAATTGGGCTATCAAAATCTGATCCGATCCGATCCGTGAGTTCTATCTGCAAAATTTATATATATATATATATATATTCAGAAAATGTATATAGTTAATCTAATTAGTTAATGATTATTTAATGGAATCTAATAATGTTATTAGTTAATGATCATTTAAATATATGAATTAATGTTGATAAATTGAAATTTTATCCAATGGTCTATGGTTAAAAAAATAAATAATATTGGGCAATTTAGAAAAAACTCTAATCCGCGGATTCGATCCAATCCGTCATTTCACAAATCCAATCCGTTATCCCACGGATTGGTGGTGAATTAAAAAAATTTCAATCCGTTAGGAGCGGATCGGATTATGATTGATGCCTAATCCGATTCGCGGCCACAACTAAGATTTACGTATGAGAACTCGAATGGATTAAAAGGAATAACTCTCTAAACATTCACATAAAAATCAACTCGTGATTTTCCTTTTTGAAAGAAGTTCATATAAAAAATAAAAATAAATAATAATAAAAAAAGTCGAACTTGACTCGCTGAATAACGGAGAATCAAACCTCCCCCACAGTAGCAACTGGATTGAAGAAAAATTGCATCCATGTGTCCTATTGGGAAACGTGCAAGTTTTAAAAACTTTTTGAGAAATTTTCATACGTAAATCTTGACTCATCACATAGAAACAAGTTTTATGCAAAAATAAAATATGATGTATCATTTAATTAATAAATTGAATATTTATATCAAGGTTTGAGTAAACCTTAGATCTCTCCTCTAAAGTGAATGTTCTCACTTATTGTAGATCCCTTTACTAGATGCTTTTTTCTTGGATCTCCATCTTCTTGGTAACGGTCTTGCCTTTAGGAATCACCCATAAGCCTCCATGAATGACCTTGGAAAATTAGGCTTGTGGGAGCCTACATTAGATGAGAACACTAACCCTAAAATTCTAGAGAGAGAAAATATATTCCTTTTTTTTTTTTCTTCCAAAAGTCTCCTTAAAATATACATGGACCATGTATATATAGGCTGTGATGGCCCAAGTTTTACAACCCGGTGTGTCAGTGATGAACCCAAAAGTCGACCCAGAAACGGATCCGAAATACGAAAGCAAAAGAAGTAAAATGACCTTTAGAGATATACGTCATCCCTAAGGCACCAAAATGACTTCCCATGAAACCACGAAACTCAAATGAGTCAAGTACTAAAGGAAGGATTTCAAACCTGAAAAGAAATGAACCAAGGGTAAAATGGTCATTTTAAACTGAAATGGGTGCCACCGTGCACACCATTGGAAATACAACGAAAAATCAACAAAGATAGACTCAAGAATCACTTGATTCGAAATCCGGATGACAAAGATATGAAGATAGGACAAAGCAGCGTCCTCCAACTTAGAGGTACTATAACCCTATCTCACTAAAACCATCATAACTCTCACTATGGTTGGAGTTTCAGTGTACGGTTAGTAACATTGGATAGCTGACTTCAAACTCTTGAATTTAGACTCAAAAATGACCTAATTTGGATTTAAAATGAGCAAATTATGACCATTTGAACACAGGTCATCATGGCAGCCAAACTGAGGCGACTCAGTTGGCAATTGAGTCGGCTCTTTTAGGCTAAAAGCACCAAAAGTGACCAAAATGAGGCGTAAATGAACCCAGTCAGCTCCCTTAAAAACCGAGTCGGCTGGGATGGGCTGAGAACATAAAAAAATGAAGAAAATGATGCCCAGATGAACCAAGTCAACTCCTTTGAGAACCGAGTCGGCTCGGTTGAAAAAAGAGTCAGCTCCTTTAGGAACTAAGTCGGCTCTTTTGGACTGAGGACCAGCTGCAACCTGATACTTTAAAAAAATGCAGAATACATAAATTGAAATGGATTTGGGATTTTCGAGACCGAGACGACATTTTTTGGAAAAATATTGTGAAGAAACTACTCCTAAAATCACATTTTATATGTGACGGAGTCAAGACTGGAATTTATTTCCCGAAAGAAAACTCCAAAATGCCCTTAAACTAGATTTTTCGACAAAAATGCAAAATGAGTCCAAATGAGGCACATTTCACCAAGGAAGAGGTTTTACCCGGAAACGATCATGCACGCAGAAGTAACTTACCTATAGGGACGCACTACAATGATCCAAGGCTTAAAAATAACCCCAATGCAAAATATGACCTCTTAAATCTCAATTTTTCATAAAATTGCTTGAAAATGCAATAAATGAAACCAAAAGGCAAAACCTAAAGCAAAATGGTGTTTGGCCTTTTGCCACACCTCATATATGGTTAATGAGATCCTATAAAAGAATAAAAATGGAATTCCCACACCCGATGCAAACATGATAAAGCAATGACTTGACATTTTTCATTATTTTCACATTAAACCTTGAAATTGAAAATGCATAGAATGCAAATTAGATAACATTGGCCTATGGCCTCATCTCATACATGTCAAATACATTGTAAAGAGTGTACTCATATACACATTACATGTTTAGAATCAAATCTACACATTTTGATATATAAGACTAAAAGTGGCATTTTAAGCTAACCTTTACAAAACTGGAACCTTCAATTCCACAAATCGTCCAAGCATAATGAAAATCTCAACCTTGATTCCTGTAACTGAAAAATTTCCCCGGTAACTTTGGGGTGAGTAACATAAAGCTACTCGTACAAGATGAGTATGCAAAGACCTAAGTTTTACAAGTTTGCATAATTTAATCATTGTGGTTCATTCCACCTAATGTCTATGTCGAAGGTGAGACTCAGGGAACATCCTAAGCTACCTTAGATCATTTCTAACATAGATCACATCACTCATGCAATTTCAATAACATAGAAGCATGTTATACAAGGCAACAAGATATAGATTCTCAAAGTTATCAACTTGAAATCAAAAATGCGAAAACAATTAAAGTGGGTTATACCAACTAACGTCTATGTTCCAAATGAATCTGTAGGATCATTTCTAAGCTACATTTGAATATTTTAACATAAATATACTTAACAACATCAAAATCTACAATAATTCATTAAAAATCAATATATCTTAATGTACTTAACAACATCAAAACTGTGATGATTCATTAAAATCATAAAGCATAAATGTAGTTAACAACATTAAAAACATGCGAGGATTTCTCACAAATCATAATGCATAAATGTACTTAACAACATTAAAAACATGCGATGATTCTTTTCAAATCATAATGCATAGATGTATTTAACAATATTAAATCGCCAATAACCAAAACCACAACTCACAATTAAACATTGGTTGTCAACTTGGAATTGAATGCGAAATCAAATAGTGGAAGACTTGGACATCAAATCTTGGATAAAGCCAAGACCTAAACGGTTATTTCGGGCACTAACCCGCTGGGAATACCACCCTAGTGCGCATTATAAAATAGGGAGAACTCATACCTTTCGTACTAGAGCCAAACTCTAGCCACGTCTCTGTAACAATGTCGCAAGTGACTCCAAAATAAGTAAATAAGTTCATAACTTATACATAATTTAAATAATGCACGAAACTACCTTTCATGCACAAGTAGGTTGAAACCACACAACACATGCTCTAAATCCACAACTATTATAGGATGACAAATGTCGAATATTCAGAGTGCGATTCGTTACACGCTATAATAATATCACATGTCGAATCTACAGTGTGCGATTCGTTACACGCTATAACAATATAATTTAATATTGAAAACATAAACTCATGAATCCATTACAAATCTAAAATCATGCTTTAAACATACTACCAATGTCAAACTCATAATTAAATCAGTAATACAATAGAAACAAAAATTAATTAAATAAACTAATTAATTTCTCTAGGTTTCAAATCTCAACCAAATGATCCATAATTAATATATGCTAAACAACATCACTTGATCATTACATATATCAATTCAAAACTTAATTAGGTCATTAGAACAATAAGGTAGAATTTAATTAAATCATGATAATTAAATTCCTAGATTCTAAAGTAACATCAAATGATCCCAAATTAATATATGCGAGTGAACAAGTCCTAGTCATTACAAATATCAAGTTAAAAACTTAATTTAGCCAATGGAACCATTAAATAGATTTTAATTAATTCTTTTAATTAAAATCTCTAGGCTT